GAACCTCCATCAGTCAATCAAGACTTCTCTTTTCTTTTATAAAGGTATCTTGTGTATACAATTTCTCCCAACCACACACACACACACACCCTTCTCCTTCCCTCAGTGTCCATGCATTTTGAGTTGAGTGATTTCACGGTGCAACGATTGCATGTATAGTTGATTCACATACCGCGGTTTTACACGGCATTAGCTTCACAAGGGCTCGTAGCAGAATCGTTCTGCCTGGCAAACTATCCGTTTCAAAGCTCCAAAGAGGTTTTAGGACCGAGGATGTGCCTCGAAAGAGCAGCGATTTGAATGCACACATCCACAAGACTTCTTCCTTGAGTGCTAGTGACGATGACAATAACTCCAGGAAAGCCTGAAGGTTACCCCACTGCCTAAAGCGAGACACCACCTTAAAAACAAAAAAACAAAACTCACACCTTGAAGCAACCGAGCCTAAAATCATTTGCAGAAGCCTCTTGTACTTGCTCCGGGTTTGAATTTTCATTCTCTCCTGGATGATTCTTGCTACTCACGTATGCACAAGGTATAAAGGGCAGCTCAACTTCAGCATTTAGGGATGGAGATCAATACTTTAGCTATAAACACACACAGACACACATCAAAAGTGAAAATAGATAGATATAGGGAGGGGTGGAGGAGGATGTTGGAATAGGAAAGGTGAGTGATATATATACATACATATACATATATACGCATATATTCATGTGTGTATATATAGATATAGATATATCACTCACCTTTCCTATTTCAACACCCCCTCCACCCCTCCCTACACCTATCTATCCTGGTTCAACAGTTGTATCTATCTATCCTATCCCCTCCACCCCTCCCTAAACCTTCTCCCGGGATGTCTGATGTTCAGAGTCGAAGTTTGTAGAGCCCTCCCAGTGGCCGTTTGGAGACAAGGTGGGAAGAGACTGTGTATTCCCAGTTCCGCTACTAAAACACCCATCCAGGCAAAGGGAGAGGAGGCGAGAAAACGCCAGGTGCTTTTCAATGGATGCAGAAGCTGCGGGCTGGACTCCTGGGGTGGAGCTGACCTGGCTGGCTCTTCCAGCTGTTCACTTTGACAGCACCTCACAGGAGGCGGCCAAAAGGTGCCTTTATGCGTTGCAAAAAGATCTCTGTCGATCACCAGGGTTTACTGGGAGGGGGTGGGGGGCACACCAAAACCCGCCTGTTTCCAAGGAAGTGTCTAGTGTGGCACAGGGGAGGGGATGAAAGGGAGCGGGAAAGCCCCTAGATCCTGCCTGATCCTCCAGAACGTGTGCCTGAAAGATGACAGGACGGGGCTGATGTGTCTCAGTACACAGGCTGTTGCTCGTGCCCGAAAGCTTGCACAGAACAATTTTCCCAACAACATAGTTGGTCTAATAAAAGATCCCCCATGTACCCAAACAACCTTGTCTGCCTCAGTCCACTGGGGCGTTTAAAGGGATGGCTTGAGCCAGTGGCAGCTTAAAGCGAAGCAGGCTCGGGGTGGAGCCTGCCAGGTGCAGATCTATAGAGCAGGCGTCTGGATCGCGAGGAGGCCGATTCTGCCCTCCCCAGAACTGCCCTCGGAGGGGAAAGGGGATGTCGTGGGAATCAGGGATCTCGGTCGTGGGTTCAAAGCTGAGCCCCCTACCCTGCTACGGCCGCTGATTTCACAAGGCCAAGTCCCGGTGGCAAGTTGCCTCCCCTCTCCGGCATGATCCTGAAATATTTCGTCCGGAGGGGAGGGGAAAAGCATCATCATCCTCACGCCGGGGAGACGCTGCAGCGTGCGGGAGCGAGCCGCCGCAGTTGACAAGCCCCGAGCCCAGCTCACATTGTTAGTCTCCGATCGCACTGATCTCATCAATGACACCGAAGCATTGGGGATTCTAGCCCCGCCTCCCCCCAGCCCTTCCGCTGCTCCTCATTGGCCGCCGGCCTCGGAGGCAGGTTCCATTCCTCGGCGCGGATTGGCTGGCGGGGAATCAGTATCAATGTTTAAGCCGCGGCGTGAGCTGAATAGAGGCAGTCAGCAAGAGGCGCCGGGAGGGAGCGGCGGCGCCGGGGGCCC